GTTCGTTCGTTATAGTGTTTGTTTTAGCGCGAATATTGAAATTAAGTGTATCGTAAAGTTGCATTCGGAAAGAATAAACCAGTTTTATTAAGTAAGGACTTGTGTCACTAAAGTTTCGTCAGAAACGAAGTTACGGAAAGTTAATTAACAAACGGAGACGTAACACAACAAACACTCTTGCAAGCATTCGTACAAAATACGTTTAATGTTTTAATATATCAACCATTAATTTTTCTCTTCTGATATTTTTAAATGCTGCGTTTATCTTTGAGTAAGTCATCATTTTATATAACCTTTATATATAAGTTTTTAATAAAGTTAGATAACCAAGTCAGGTTGGGTGTGAATCTGCTAAGAATCAAACTGTAATCATATACGCTATCACAATTATTGATATGTTGTTACCTTTGATCCATCTTGCTTTATATGTTTCCATAAGAGGATTTAGAATTAATGGTAATGAACAAAGTACAGTTTGATAATGGATGGAATACATTACTGTAATGTCTGAGAGCATGCGATCAACTTACTAGTAAAAAAATCAACAACAAATTATTCATCTTCTGCTTGAACGCACGTATTGTTAAAATTTAAAGAAAACCCGGTAATTTTCATTTACAGCTGAATTTATATTGAGTGAATGATATCCAGTAAAACTATTCATTTTTCTGCAGAAGTTTGTAAACGTTTGTTATTATATTGTTTTATAACTTTATGTGAACGTGTGAAACTGTTCAAACGTTTTGTTCTGTAAAGTATGATAATAACCCTAAGAGAAAAAATAAGTCTGGTATACTTTCCTATTATTCTGCTTATCCTTACACTTCTCCTTAATCTTCGAACCCATAATGAATAATTGGTAGGTGTAGTGGTTCTGGAATTATCTGCAGTTCCAGGCCTTATTGAAACTGATAAGGACATGACGTAACATTATTTAAGCACAAGCGCTTGAATGAGCAGCAACTGTTGGACTCTCAACTTATTTGCCAGTAATATCAAAATCGGATATCCCGAACATAGGGCTCGAATTTCGGTTTATTGAAAATTATTTGATTTTTTTTCCTGTTACAACTAGTGTCTACTTTTTTAAACTACTGCATTATTATGTATTTTATTTCGGTCACATTGACTTAGTTATTTTATTGTTTTCGTTATCAGGAAGAAAACGCCTCCGGAGGGCTTAGAAAATGGATCCATACAATAAAGGTAGCACAGTCTTGATAAAAGCTTATTACATAACAAGTTGTTGCAATATTCTGCTTTGAAATCGAAATTCAAATTGAACGTCTTACTTTTTATAAAGATGGTAAGTTGTGTGTTGTTGGGAAGAACATGGTTTTATGACAGAAGAAGAATGATCTCTGCGTATCTGAGATACAAGATAGTTGATATACTAAAATTAATATAAAACCAAATCTAGTATTCGGTTCACGACTTGTTGCAGAGTTATACCGATTTCGGGGGGATTCTACGGTCATCAAGAAAAGAAACAAAATATTTAATGGTGCTACTTTTGAGAGAGTAAATAGCTGACAGTTTTTTTTTCTGAGAAGGTAAGTATTTTATGGTGTTCTTTCTGAAGATTTTCTAACTATAAAATAAGTAGTTAACGATTATTAGTAATATTTCATAAAAGTAATGTTATGTTGCAATCATGCTAACAGAAGACAAAATATAGTTAAAGTAGTATTATACACACTTCTTGCTGAAAACCCATATCATACCAGTAAAAATGATCGTGTTTAATATTGTTATTACTCTTATTGTGATTAGAATCACAAGAATATTGCTACTAAATGTTACGTTTTGCTAGTCAAGAGGAGGAACAAGGTTTATGCTGATTTGTAGAACAGACACTCGATGATGTTCTATCTGGGAGTACGAGTCTTCGATTATGTTTTGTTTGAACTATCTTCTTTTTTTTAAGTAGTTATTGTTTAGAAAATCCCCCGTGAACATTTGGTGGTAGAGACAAAAATATGATAAGACACATTTAAAAAATAATAATATTAGAACTCTATAATTACGTAGAATGAAGAAGTTATTTAAAAATCCCCCACTTGATATGTTCTAAAAGCTGATAATGACATGGTAAAACAGACATAATAGTTTTCTCACCTCCTTTTAGGCGCTGAAGCTCCACCTAACTACTGGCAGATCCAGACTCCAGTAAATCAACAACCGTATAGCTATGGTGCCCCAGGTCCGGCGTACCCAAATCAGGGATATCTCTCTCCTCCAACGCAACAGCCAAGTAAGAAATAATTAGTTAGAAATTTAAACAATCTGAGTTGAATTTAACTGCGTGTAAGGTACAGTAATCTTAATATTTTATTATGCAGATGGTAAATTTTTAAATAAAAATAATAAGCTATTTGCAAAAGAAACTGGAAACATTTAGACTAACAACAATTAACACCAGCCAACAGATATGAGGGAAAGCTTAAATGAAAAGAAATTTAATGTGTTTCCCATTGTAAAAAACGTCCAATCATATTTTAGGGAAGAAATTATTATTCAGTTTTTATTGTTGATCAGGTGAACTGCATTTCTGCAACCATCCAGAGCATACGAGATTGAACCCAAGAACAGTGAATTGCGTGCAATTGGTATTCCATGGTGCACTATGGACACAATCTAATGTGTTGTCACCGTTTGCTGTTAGAATACATGAAACGCACTTGTTGTTTTTTCTGGAAAGCAGGCTGAAGGATGGTTTATTGTATGGTTCTATAAACCATTAAGACATGGTAGCCAACCTGTGATGCAGCTTGTAATCCCCAGATCTCTCAGACACAAAATACTTTGTGCCTTGCATTGTAAGGGCCGGAAGGTACAAGGAAGTGTCAAAAAATATTGTTGGTCTGTGGAAATGGGATTTGGCCACATTCACATAACAACATTCAAGGATGTTGTAGGTAATGTACTCGGTATGGTGCTACCCAGAAGAAAAACCAACTAACCACAGCAGGAAAAACTCAGAGAGAATCACCCTGAATATATCCGGTTACCTGCCTGGAAGTGGAAAATTTAATCAATATTTGGCAGTCATCGTCGATTACTTCGACGAGTGGTCTGAATTGTAATTATTGGATGACATCTTAATGACACCTTATTGCAGTCTATACAGAAAAGCTGGCTGGTAAATAGATATGATGCTTTAGCAAACCTGGAGAAATCCACACAGACCAAAGTCAGTTGTTTGCAGGGTCATATTGAGTGTTAGGTGTGGTGAAGATATCCACTTCACCATATGTTTTGGCTGAACAGAAATACAGACAGTTAATCGTATGCCTACTATGTTTGTTAACCCCGACTGGGATAAGTACCCACTCTCTGTTATGATAACTTACCATGCGGCTGAGTAACAGTCGTCTGTTTGTTTCCGAATCTCCTGATATTGAAATGAGAAGTATAGCTCCCATTGAAACTAATTTGTGCCCCCACCCAGTACATAAGTACCACAGTGACCACAAGAATGTGTTAAATGCCTGATTTTTCGGTTACAGCAAATGGGTAGATGGGTTGTTATATATATCATTACCTGTTAAAACAAAACATAGAGAGAAAGTTCAAATCTGATGACTGGGTATGGTTGCGATACACGTATTCAGTGTCAAAACACTGGATGGACTGGTACATATCTTCTCTCTTGGCAGTTAAGTGAAGTGCATTACGGGTTAAAGTGGTTGCACAATGTACATGCATGTATTAAAACAACAACAAGCTTAGATTCTACATAAGTGAAGAGCCTCTAGAGAACTGGTTACTCCATAAGTTAGAGGTGAGTGATCAAGTTTCTACATAACTGATGAGCCTCTAGAGAACCGGTTACTCCATAAGTTAGAGGTGGGTGATCAAGTTCTTAGATTCTACATAACTGATGAGCCTTTAGAGAACTAGTTACTCCATAAGTTAGAGGTGAGTGATCAAGTTCTTAGATTCTACATAAGTGAAGAGCCTCTAGAGAACTGGTTACTCCATAAGTCAGAGGTGAGTGATCAAGTTCTTAGATTCTACATAAGTGAAGAGCCTCTAGAGAACTGGTTACTCCATAAGTCAGAGGTGAGTGATCAAGTTCTTAGATTCTACATAAGTGAAGAGCCTCTAGAGAACTGGTTGCTCCATAAGTTAGAGGTGAGTGATCAAGTTTCTACATAACTGATGAGCCTCTAGAGAATTAAGAACTTGATCACTCACCTCTAACTTATGGAGTAACTAGATTCTACATAAGTGAAGAGCCTCTAGAGAACTGGTTACTCCATAAGTCAGAGGTCAATGATCAAGTTCAGTCTAATGATGAGAATACTGTGTTTATGCTCTCATCTTAGCTGATAGTACGTATTTGGATGTTTGTGAAGATTCGGATGAAAAAATGCCAGTGGAGCAGCAGTCAATCTATTTTGATAATCATCAGGGTTCGTTAGAGCTGGAATTAACTGCAGTTCGGATGGTCAGTTAACGAAAAAATCAATGACTGAAGGGAATTGGTGTTCCTTGTTTTCCGAGCTATCAAGTGGTGTTTCACAATAAGATGCATGTGTATTTCAATATTAAATAGCCACTTGGTTATTTTACAGTTAAGACGATTACTTTTTTTGAAAAATAAACAACCGATAGAGTGCTGTCACACTTACTTTCCGAGTTTATGACAATATTTTGTTACAAGACATTGACCTGACATTTTGTAAAAATCAGCTGATCTGCCTAGTTAAGTTCTAGCTGACTTTCTGCCGAACAGACTGACCACACGAAACTCACTAACTTAGAGTAAAACTAAAATTCAACTTGGTATTGGTAATAACTATAGTTCATTAAATGTATGTTTCTTATATTCTCATTTATAAAGATTAGAACACGATGTTTCATCAGTTGGATACCCTAGCTCTTAACGATATTTTTTACCGTAAGATTATGTAAATCAACGAAATGTGTGTTATTTTGTTAAACTTTTGTCTCGGTTATTTTTCGTGTTTATCTGATTTTGCATGTTTTTCACGACCCTTAGATGTTAGTACGAGTGAGGTAAACATGGAAATTTAAGCTGATTGATATATTTTGACAGCAAATATAATTTTGCTTTCATATCTTTTGCACCTGCTACTTAAGGCAGTTGACAACAATAATATGATCTAAAAGGAAATCTATAATGAAATGAACCATTTCTGCTTATTTCTATCTATGATTACTTTTTATTTTTGTGCTATTGTTTGAATTGGATTAGGTCTAATTCTTTAGATCATAGATGACATCTGAAGCGTAACACGTGTTTACGCATGTGGAGAGTGCTAATAAAGGTGACATCGACTGCCGGTGATGTATATACTGTAAGTGTCTGTTGGTAAATATTTAACGATGGATACATAAGTGAGACAGCACGAGCGTGTTTTC